CTCGCGACTGCCCCAGCCTCTTGCCAACATGCGACGTCCACTTGGGAGCATGAACCCCCTGATAGACACAGAGACTCGCAGGCATTGCCTCCTGTTTGTGGCACCTTTTTGCCTTGACACTGCTCTCGTTACACTCCTGTACCAATTAGCATAGGTCGTGCCACCATCCCACTCGCCCCGCTCACCCTCCAGCCTCCCAGCTCAGACTCACTGCCTGCTCCCTGCAGGGGCAACGGGGCAGCCTTGGGCACCAGGATGCGCTTCACTGAGGGCCTTTGCCTTGGACTAAGCATCCCAGGAGCAGGGGAAATCTCTCCCGAGCAATGCACATGTCAGTGGAGAGCGGAGCCAAGTCCTGAGCTGGAGGGCTTGGCTTGGTGTGTGCCAGGCTGGGCTTCTCTTCCCAGCTCGATGCTCACTTGGGAAAGGAAGGGGCAATGGATGCCCACTGGAGCCCAGGCAGCTGGCATAGCTCCTCACTGCTGCTGTGTGCTTCACCTGCCTTTGTGGGGTGCGGGGTGTCTGCTTTCTGGGCAGGGAGAAGACAAAGGATGCCCTCCTGGAGCTGAAGGCCGCACTGGAGAGCAGCCCCAAGGTGGTGGCTCACTACCCCGTGGAGGTGCGCTTCGCCCGGGCAGACAGCATCCTGCTCAGCCCCTGCTTCCAGCGCGACAGCTGCTACATGAACATCATCATGTACAGGTGGGATCCGGTGGGTGGAGGCGCGGGTCGGGGGATGCAGCATGTGACGCTCCCCAGAGCGGTGGCTGTTAGGGGGAGGGAGGTGGAAGGACCAGCCTGGGTACTTAGCCCCACGTTGCCTCAGGGGGAAGCCCCCAGCCTTCCCCAGTTCCCCAGCTGGGTTCCCAATGCCTAGCTCCCTTCCCCAGCAGCAGTGAGGACCATGCACTGGGCAGGAGGAGCAGGGCTGAGTGGGGCTGGGCAGGTAGGATGATCAGCAAGATCAAAGCAGGACCATCTGCAACTAGATCATCCCAGCTAAGGCTTTGTCTAGCCAGGTCTTCAAAACCTCCAAGGATGGAGATGTCACCACCTCTCTGGTGGGATGACCAGCAGCATACTTGCAGGAAGGTGAAGAGCTCATGGGGTTCAAGGGAGGACCTTCAATAGGATGATGGTGCGAAGCGGGGGAGATGTTCCTAGGAGCCAAAGGGAGATGGGGCAAAAGCTGGCATGGTTAAGCTGTGAGCCACATCTCACAAGGCACAGTGGTCCCCTAAAACCTGGGACATATGGACTGCAGTGGGGTCCAGTACCTATTTCTTCTTCTCCCTACATGTGAGCATCACAGACCTTCTCTGCCCTGAGTCCAGGGACCAGCTGTTCGTGGACACTGCTGACCCTGGCTGTGTGAGGCCAGCTTGCCCCTTCCAAGGGGTGAGGACTCTGTATCACCCTGGGCTATAAAGCTTCATATAGCAGTATAACCCAAGGAAGGCAGACATTTAAATCATGCAAAGGGCCCTGGGTATTTGTCAAATGTCAGTGATTAAGACCCCTCCCCAAGGAAAACGCTCTTATTTGAGTGGGGATAGCCTGGTCTCCGCTGATAGCCTCTCCTTAAGACTCATCCCCCTGTTCAGAGCAGGCCTCTGTGCAGCTGTTCACCCCTCGTTAAGGCTGGTTGCATTGGCACTCAGGGGGCAATACCAGACTTGGACTGGACCGGACCTAGTCTGTTTCCAGGCTGGGAAGAACACAGGAAGGACAGGCTGGGTCATTATAGAGCATCTTGATGTGCTTGTGATCTGGAAAATGCCCAGCAAGGTGAAGGTGCATGTATAAACACACACACGCACGCACGCGCATGTCTCAGCTTGGCCCTCACGGCAGCTCCAAATGGGCGAGCGAGTGGTGAGCAGCAGGTGGGGTCTTCTCTTGCAGGCTCACGCCTGCACCCGGACGGACTTTGAGAAGATATACCCCGGCTTCCCGAAGTTCTGCTCCATCCGGGAGAAGCTGGATCCTACAGGGATGTTCCTGAACACCTACCTGGAGAAGGTGCTGTACTGAGGGTGGACGGGGAAGGATGGCAACCCTGGACAGCTGGTGCCATGTGCTCCATTCCTGGAGGCAGGGGCACTGCTCCTGGTACAGCTCCCTTCTACTCCCAGATCCCTTGGGACTGAACCAAATCCTTGTCCAAGAACACTGCTCCCCTGGGGTGGTCCAGCTTTGACCTGGCATAGGAGGAGTGCATCCAGCATCTGTTCAGGGATTTAGATTAGATGACCCTTCAAGTTCCTTCCAGCCTTAGGGCTCTACGATCCTATATGTCTCTTAGCTAAGTTGCTCTTGAGTCTCTGTCTCCTTTGTGTCTTGTACAGCTCCAAGCGCTCATACCTCAATAAAAAATCCTCACTGAGTACCATATTTCTCATGGGCAACACACCCCAGAATAAGACACGCACCTTACTTTTAAAAGGGAGAATAAAGAGCTCTTTCCC